GAAGCATTTATGAACTGAAGTATTACTGTATATTGAACCATTTCCATCATGTAAAAGGGGAGTACCTTGTTCTAACTGGCATAAACATTTATCCCAGGTGTAAATCTGCCTTCCCTGCACATAATGCTTCTGGGAAAACTATGATCCATGGACTTACATAATGCCTCATCTATTGCCATGATATTCCACACAGCATTGTTTCCAACCTAGGAATATACTAAAGGGCCAAAGAAGTGCCACAATGGGCTCGTGCTTATGAAATTCACTGGCCTTGCCATGTTTCCCACTGCCCAGAAGCAGATAGATTGCTACAACTGTGGAATGGCCTTTGGAAGATGCAATGACACTGCCCGCTAGGTGGCGATACCTTCACTCCTGGGGCAAGGTTCTCCAGAAGGCTGTATATCCTCTGAATCAGTGTCCAATATATGGTACTATTTCTCCACTGGTCAAGATTCATGGGTCCAGGAATTAAGGGGTGGAAATAGAAATAGTACGGCTCACCATTACCATAGAATGCAAGTAACCTATAGGACAGCAGAGAGATTAAAATGAACTTGTCTGAGTCAAATTTGGGTTAGCTTACATCTTACCTTTAAGCCACTCTTAGTCATGTTTTCAGTTATTCATCGCCAAAAGCATTCCTGATTACTCACCTTTTTCTAGGAAACTACTGGGAGTAACTTTAGCATGAAATGTTTTCCAGATTTACTCAGGACATCTATATTTTTCAGCCTCATTTAGAAGCTTGATTACATTCTGCAATCTCATTTGACTTGCTATTTTCCCACAGTAACTTTATCTTTGCTTTCACTCATTACCTAGTGCCTGTGGGGTAGGTGTCTTCCTTATTCTTCATTGTTATTGCCACTAGTTTCTTTTTCTTTCCTAAAAAACCACGGGTTTTTGTTGTACAAGGTCTGAGATTTTACCAGCCATTTCCACCTTAGTTCCAATTTCTTATAAAATTCTGACATTACTTCACATTGTTTGATAAGGTTAGCTCCCGGTTCATTTTTTTTCTTTGTTGTTTTTCTTGACCTTAATATATTCCTTGGTGTTCATCCAGTAGTTGGGCCCGTCTCTTCCTAGACTTCTCAGATCCACCACTCTTGTCCTCCATTCTACTCATCTGTAACTGTGAGGAGGAAAGTCGATGGGACTTGGCAAGAAAGTGTCCATTTAGACTCCTAAACTCAGTTCTTTTGAATTATACCTTGGTGCCTCAGTTAGTCAGTATCTATACAGAAATCAACTCCAATATCTCTACATTCAATAATGACTGGTAAAGATAACTGGGTATGAGTTGCTTTTGTTATTGTCTGAAGGTCAGGATATTCTGGGGAAAAGTAACACTAAGAAAAATCAATAGCAGCTTTTATAAATGTCAGCATAAAATGCCATTCAAAACAAGTATAAAAGGTTAATCACATTTTGAGTATTTCAAAATGCATTATGATCAAATAAAACTGCAATGACATGCTATCCATGAAAGGACAAAATAATTAGCCAAGGCTATTTCTGTATCTGATAAATAGATTTTAAATATTCCATTAATCAAGTCACAATGTTTTTAAGGCTGTGTGCTCAAAACACGCACCCCCCCCCCCCCGTATTGTGGGTTATTTTCATATATGTAAGCATTCAGTAAAATCACCAGTTATCACTGAGCGCTTAAATTGGGAGAGGTCAGGAAGGGACAGAGCATTATGTGGTAAGAATTTCTGTTACTGTACTTTTTTATGGAGATAATGATGGAGTCATGGTTTCTGAAGAATGAACTGAATACACTGAGAAGACAAGTTCAGATATGCCAGGGCAACTGAGACAAAGGCTTAATGCTGATCTTGGGTGGTAGTGTGTCTTTGGTAACCATGGTGAACTTGGATGAGTTTAAACACTACATGCTGGAAATTGCTTAAGAGTGAGTCAATAATGAATCTTTTGCCTTAGTAAAATTGGGTGGAAATGTTTCAAAGTCTCATTTGGAAAATTATGCTTGAAGACTTCGGAGTCACAAAGGTTCCAGGTAGAGTTGATTAAAGAAAAATCCTGTCTCGGAGGGAGAGAGGGAGAGAGGGAGAGAGGGAGAGAGGG